AACGTTAACGAGCTAAACATTAACCAGCTGAACTTTAACGAGCTGGACGTTAACGAGTTGAACGTTAACGAGCTGAACTTTAACGAGCTGAACGTTAACGAGCTAAACATTAACCAGCTGAACTTTAACGAGCTGGACGTTAACGAGCTGAACTTTAACGAGGTGAACATTAACGAGCAGAACGTTAACCTGCACAATGTTAACGAGCTGAACGTTAACAAGCTGAACGTTAACTAGCAGAACATTAACGAGCGGAACTTTAACGAGCAGAACGTTAACGAGCAGAACGTTAATGAGCAGAACGTTAACCAGCACAATGTTAACGAGCAGAACGTTAATGAGCAGAACGTTAACAAGCAGAATGTTAACCAGCATGTTTACGAGCAGAACGTTAACCAGCATAATCTTAACGAGCAGAACTTTAACGAGCAGAAAGTTAACGAGCTGAACGTTAACGAGCAGAATGTTAACGAGCTGAACGTTAACCAGCATAATCTTAACGAGCAGAACGTTAACGAGCAGAACGTTAACGAGCTGAAGGTTAATGAGCGGAACGTTAACCAGCATAATGTTAACGAGCTGAACATTAACGAGCTGAACATTAATGAGCAGAATGTTAACGAGCAGAACATTAACGAGCTGAACGTTAACGAGCAGAACGTTAACAGCATAATGTTAACGAGCAGAACGTTAACGAGCAGAACATTAACGAGCTGAAGTTTAACGAGCAGAACGTTAACAGCATAATGTTAATGAGCAGAACGTTAACCAGCATAATGTTAACGAGCTGAATGCTAACGAGCAGAACGTTAACGAGTAGAACGTTAACCAGCATAATGTTAACGAGCTGAATGTTAACGAGCTGAATGTTAACGAGCAGAACGTTAATGAGCAGAACATTAACGAGCAGAACGTTAATGAGCAGAACGTTAATGAGCTGAATGTTTACGAGCTGAACGTTTACGAGCTGAATGTTAATGAGCAGAACATTAACGAGCAGAACATTAATGAGCAGAACGTTAACGAGCAGAACGTTAACGAGCTGAACGTTAACGAGCTGAACGTTAACGAGCAGAACGTTAACGAGCAGAACGTTAACGAGCAGAACGTTAACGAGCAGAACGTTAACGAGCAGAACGTTAACGAGCTGAACGTTAACGAGCAGAACGTTAACGAGCTGAACGTTAATGAGCAGAACATAAAGTCTCTGGTTCTTCTCCCTCTCTGGGAATCGAGTTCTTGGAATGAAACTTCCTGGAGCTGAAATGAGACGTAAACAAATCCTGCAGCTTCTGAAACTGAAGAGCTCAGGTCTTTGTAAAAAGGTTTAGATTATTATTATTA